GCCCAGCTTGGGCGGGCGGTGGCTGTCCAATGAAGTGCGAAGACTTCTCCCATCGTCGACAGGAAGCCCTAGGTACGCCGCTCCTACGTCCATCTAACGGGGATTTTTTACCAGTAAACTGCCCCTCACCGTGTTTATTTACTGGAGTGACCTCTCCAGGGGCGGGTGTGGATAGAAGAAAGAAACCAGGGGGTGCCCAAGCAGCTGGCTTGTGAGACTGATCTTCGTCTGGCCTCCACCCGTTGACCTTTCAGGCATGGCTGTGAAAAGCCATCCTGCGTAGCTCGCAGGGTCATTGAGGCGCGCAAGCCATCACACCACGCCAAGGTGCAGTCTCGTCGTGATGGAGACAATCAAAGAGTATGATGGTACAGTGATTCACGTCCAGTAACGCCGTCTAAATTGATGGGAAGGACCTTAGAAGGCACAGTTTGACTGGCCTTCATTGTCATTACATTTGGCAAATTTTGCTTCCATGGAACAACTTCTAGCGGTTTACGTCACCTTCCTACAGAAACCATGGTTACTCGGTAGGTAAGTGACCTGAAAAGCTTGGTAGGTAAAACAAGGTTTCTTGAATTACGCTGCTGACATTAAAGTACCGCTCAATACTCTTTCATCTTGCAGGGTCCAGTCCTCTTCCATTGAACTATCAATCAGTTACTTCACCAACTGATAGCTTTACAACCGTCACCAAGGCTATGCATGTTCGCTTCTGCGCTCGGTCCAGGGAGTATAGTTTATGATCGGCTTATTTGAACATGAACGCAAACAAAAGCGATTGGAATCATCGCTGTACGATGATGACGAGGACTGACACAGCAAGAATGATCTGTTTACCACATGGATTCATTGATAAACGTTTAACGGACAAAAAACATAACTGATCACAGAAATAATATAACCTACTTTGACATGGACCACGGATATGCTGGAACCGGACTCTACCAGAGTGATGATTAGTTTAGGAAAAAAGGCGTGTATTTCGTTCAACAAACATTCCAGGTCACAACGCACGTCCCGCGGACTATTCAGCACCGAATCACGCATACGTCGTTTCTGTTCGGAATTCAAATGGGATCTGCATTGATGAGTGGAAATCGAGAGAAAAAAATGATGAGTGAGAATAAAACACATGAATCGGTACACCACTCTTTGTGTTCATTTTGTTCACGTGATTAGCGTTGCAAAAATAGCTTTGAACCATGGTGACAAAGTACAAATAAACTCCTCCGATAAATATCTAGGAAGACAGAAATAGTGTGCTTACAAAGCCCGAGATGGCATGGGTGTCTTCAGTCCTCTATCAATGCACTACATAACTCTTTGCGGTTCGTTTACCAAACAAACAAATTCACTCGAGAAACAGTGCATCTGATTCCCTATATTATGAAATCGTTACATATCTGTGGTGGTATTCGCTTCTTGAATATTCTTCACAGTTTAACTCTATCCGTAGATCCCTGCTTGCCTGAAAATTCGAAAATTTTGACTATCCCCAAATTCTACTTTAGGAGATTAGATCATGACATGCTCAAAGCACCAAAATTGCCGGAAATTTGTCCACGCCTCTAACAAATGATCCGGGAGACCGGAAAGGTATTGCTCTTTCGTTCTTTCTCTTTTGAAACAACATCAGTGATTTTCCCCCAAAACCCTTCGTGTTCTCCCAGCAAGTACGCTGACGACGTCACTCAATGCCACAGTATCGTTTCACACTCAGATCGCGAGTCTTTCTGGATGCTTCATCTCATCAAACACCTCAAATAACGCCTCAATATAACACTGATATTCTAGCTCCCCGTCTCGTTCGAATTCTGGTTAGCATTTCGGTTATGCAAAACGACTCTGACTCGCTGATGGACCGCCCATATGAAATACTGTTTTGGCGAAAAACATCATTCACGTTTTAAAATTCGAAAACTTGGACAAAATCACGTCGATCAATCAGTCATTTTTTTCAAATTTAGCTTATCAATGCATTTTATGCACTATTTTTTACTGTTCTTTCATTCTACCTAGTTAGTGTAAAAGATTTCGAAGCACTGCCACGGACTGGCGAACCGATAGCAAAGGTTTTGATGTTCTTTTAAGGAAACAAGCTCAAAAGCCCAAGTTTCGAGTAATAACGCCTATAGGAACCATGGAGCATCATTAACCGGAATAAATATCACAATTATCAGTATAAGATTGGCTTTTTTTATTACACACCTTTTGTGTGTGATGAAGAACAGATGGGGTAAACCTCAGTCACGAATCCTTGTTGTTTAGTCATGGAAACCGGCAACCTAAGCCCTGGGACTTAGAATGGTGAACCACATAAGACCCCGCCAGGTTAGGTATGGTACTGAACAGGACGACTGCAAAGCTGTGAGATGTGGTCCGACTAAGACTTGACATGAGGGTATGAAAACCCTGACTAGGACTAGCGTTGGGCTCCCTGGATGGGGACCTCAGGATCATTGTAGGCGACATTGAGTGTCGCTAATACCAACGCCCAAGCGTTCATTCATTGCCCCTGCAACATTATTCTTCATGAATTCTTTATTCTCACCCACACACTGATTTCAAAATTCCAATCTTCTTTCTACATCTAAATGACAACAAAAAGGCAGAAGTCGAAACCACCACACAAAAGTGGATACTTAATGGTAGTTCAAACGGGAACCAAACTGACTACAAACTAATCGATATATTGGGCTCTAAGACTGCAAAAATATGTTATTAACCGCGCTATATGACTGTGCAGCACAAGGATTACAAATTATACCACACAGCGTTTGCTTTAACCATTTGTTGTGTCAAAACACTCATTTTCTAAAGTTAGATGTAAGCTTCGTTTTCGAACTCAATTTTTAAAACAAGCAAGCCAGAATAAATAAAACATGGGGAAAGTGAAGAAACCGACTCTTTTCAGAATACACGAACCTTTGGAACATGGAACACGCCAAAAGTCCCTCCAGTATGGTGTGCGCTCTCTCGCAATAGCGATTCTTCCAGCGTTCAGCGTCCCAACGGTCCACCAACCAATCAGCTCGTCTTACCGCGAACGCGTCACTTTCATCGCCCAAAACATCCGTCGGAAACTCTAACTGATCTACTGTTGTGATCAGGCTGAGTGCATTGTGGAGACCGAGATCTCCCATGCAACTTCGAACCCGTGAGTTGCGCATGTGACGTGCCAGTTCATCCAGTACTTCAAAACAGTCTCTTTAGATGGAGTGTGAATGTGAAAACACAACAAACTAGAGAAGAGTATGTCACAGATAAAAATTATTCAAAATGCAGTTTGTAATCAATAGAATAGAATAAGAATTTTCACAAGAACGAGGTTAGAGTAAGTAAAATCTCCACAAATGCGGACTCTCAAAAAGGATAAGAGCTCTACCACCCTTGAGTCAAACCATCTGAGTGGAAGCTGACCGAGATTAATGATGAGATACAAATTTACAATCCTGTGTGACTCAAAAAGTTGAACTATCAAATAACATAAATGAGGTAAATCGAAATAGTACGGTCTCAAGTTTAAGCCAACTCCTAAGTAATTCAACTCTCGGGCACTGAGCAGAGCGGTTTAAAGGAACTGATGAGTAAACCCAATCATGACCTACCTTGCTATCAATGATGTGAGAGCGGGGACTGACCATTTTGATTTACCACTTCAAATGCAATAGTCTGTTTCCAGGTAATTTTTATTAGTGGAGTTCATCTCCCTACTGTAATCACAACATAATGTGAGGAAAAAAACTTTATGTGCTGACTGACATATTCATTACTCTGAGTTCAACAAGTAACAAAATACTCCTAATTAAAGTTTTGGAAATCCACAAAACAGTACACAGTAGAATGTTGGGTGAAATCTGATCTGACAGCGCGCCCTTGATCCAGAAGCTTCGCATGAGGTAGAGCAACCACCGATTTGAGAAGTACTATCAAGTGGCATAGTGCTTTTTTAAATAAGCAAAATAACATGAATTCAACAAGTAAAGCGAACGCATGCACAGGTGTCTCGGTTTGCCATACTCGGTCACAACACTGCTGGCATGTAATCTAAACTGTAAAGGCTTCCTACCTGATTTGAGCGATCAACCGATGTGGCTGGAGGTTTTCACTTAATGTGCTCTTCTTGCCTGTCTGTGACGGTCCTCGGGGAGAGTCCAGCGCATCTATTGTCGTTTTGCTATCGGTCATTCCAAGATTGGAAGTCGTCGCGGCACCAGTCTTTGGTAGCTGTTTGACTCCGGTCTCGCACTCAGGGAGATTATCAGTCCCATCGCTTTCTTCTTCGCCAGTGTTGGTCACATTTGCCAGCAATCGAGTCAAGATAATTCTAAGACGCTTGACTTCACGCAAACTGTCTTGAGCGAGCTTAGATATATGTGTACTAACGACAGCGTTTTGACTCATTCCAGAATTGAACGTCATTAGACACTCAACTGATTATGATAAAAGAAACAGAAGCTGTTGACGAGAGAACAGCTGCTGTGAATTCGTTCCACTGACGCGACCTACATACGAGTAGGGAGGAGCGAAGGCAATCAATCAATGACGCGGAAACAATAAAAGTGAAACACTGACATAATTAAGCGGCATTTCTATTAAATATTAAAATAATCCACTCCCCAATATAAATATATGTCTGAAAAAATGTCTTTTTACATCCTATTTTATTTATTGAATATAAAAATGTACAGTCAACAATCAGGA